GGTTCGAAACTACCAGCTGCTCCACGGGAGAAAGATGAGGCTTTCTACTCCCGTAAAGATTTACACCCTTGGAAACCCTGTACAGGGTCGCTATCGGTCGGAACCGACTTGACGGCACTTAACAACAACAACATCCTAAAGCACATGATTTGGGGCTGCACAATAGGTTTTAGGGGAGAGGACGCTGACGCCCACGAAAGACACTGACAGAAGAGCAGGGCAGGAACAGGGAAGGGCCAGTGAGGATGGGCTCCCTGAGTGTCTTTCATGCCTAGACCCCAAACTCAGTAGTCTTCTTTCCCGGTGAGCTTGGGCCAGGCTGTCTCACCTAGTCAGAAGAGCTGCAGTTGCATTCATGATTTGGACTTGGATACAGCAAGTCCGATGAGGTCAGCTAGCTAGTCTTGCCACACCGAGGGCCATGCCTCCAACAGTGGCCATGCCCATGAGTCCATCTTTCTTCATGGCCTTGTCAATGAGTTGCTCCAGCTGCCTGACCTGGTTGTTCTGGGGCTCTGTCTGTAGCAGCCCTCGCACGTACCTCAGGGCCTTCCATACCCCTTGAGCCGATAGTTCCCCACAGCCAGGTAAAAGATATAATCCCATTGTTCCTTCTTGCTTCCCTTGGGCAGCAGCTCCTCGAGCAGCCCTATGCCTTTATGGATGTCATCATTATACATACTCCACACAAGACACCAGGCATATTCTAACTGCTCTTGGAAACTACCCTACTGCCGCCTCAGACTGAAAATTCTCCTCAAACTTCAGCAGGTCATCCACAGATACCAGCTCGGTTCAGGACGGCCTCCGTGGCCACTGACCCAGCAGTCCTCTCAGCAGTCCACTATGGCGCCACTGTCTCCGTGGCCCACCGACAAGGGTGGAGAGCCACTTCCCTCTCAAGGGGTTTTTATTATAAATGAATACATAAAGAATATTCTCAAATCGAGCTTTGCAGGCTTATGAAACCCAAGTAAGAACAAGTTGTTGTTAAGTGCCATCGAGTTGGTTCTGACTCATAGCAACCCGAGGAGTGGCTGGTGAGTTTGAATCTCCGACCGTGCAATTTAAACCCAGCTTGAGGTCGAGTCCTTATCCCGGGGTGCCACATAGTGTAGTAGGAACAAGAGCCATATTCAATTTCCTTCATATAATTTTAGAGCCAGACTTCCATAGGATTTTAAAATGGAGCATATATTATACTACATGAAGAAGGTATATACTATAGAATGAAGTTGTGCACACTTACTTTTAAGGAAACTTCAGTATGTGCCTCATGTGCTCTGCCTTCATGTAGTAAATACCAGAATTTCATCCTAAAAGGTTGGAAACATCATGTAATATTTCATACTAAACTTGTTACACATTAATTGAAAAAAAAGAAAAAAGTCTTGCTGAAGTGTAAAGTTTGCAATTAAAATTTTTCTTCGCTGTTGTAGATAACTTTACATGCACTGAGGTAAGTTTGATATTGAACATAGGTGTCTTGCCCTCTTAGAGTGTAAAAACATATTGATGAATTATTCCTTTCAATGAAAATAATTTAGAAAATAAATTATACATGTTAAATGTGAAAAATGAAACTTCTGAAATTTATATGTATATTATATGTATTAAGTATTGCATGTAAATGTATGTGTCAGGACATTTATACAATGCATGCTTATTTTTAAGCAGTTTAAAGAATGGATGTTCTTCCTCTGTGGAGTAGGCCTGTTCCCCGAGCCTGTAAAAACAGAAAGAATAACTACATTTGTCAATTTTCAAACACCTGTTGTTGTACATTTCACCAATCCCACCGAAGAAGAGGTGTTTATTAATATCATATTAACAAGTAAGTTATTTTTCTTATATTTTGCAGATGTTATGTTATAGCTATTAATCAAACTTATTTTTTGGGTAGAACCCAAACATTTGAGAACTCTTAGACACTTTGTTGTTGTTGTTAAGTGCCATAAAGTTCATTAGTTCCAACCCATGTTGTTGTTGTTGTTAAGTGCCGTCAAGTCAGTTCCAACCCATAGCGACCCTGTATAGGATTTCCAAGGAGCAGCTGGTGAGCTTGAACTGCTGACCTTGCAGTTCAAACAGCTTTGCAGTCTGGCACATTAACCCACAGTGCCACACCAGAGGTGACAATGATTTGCATTCCATTGTCCACCTAAAGTTGGCTGTTTGAAGCTACCCAGCAGTATTGAGGAAGAAAAAACCTGACCATCTGCTTCCATTCGGTTGACAGCTGAGAAAACTCTATGGAGCAGTTCTACTTTGTAACTCATGGCGTTGCTATAAATCTGAATCAACTGAACATTAGCAATAGATACACTAGTGCAATAGCATCATAGAAGCAGACAACTGTTCATACTGTTCTCTTATAAACACACTGCTCTCTTTTTATTTCTGTAGCATCAGTTATAATGTCTAGACTTCCATTTCTGATTTTAGTTATTAACCTAGAATGCTTATGCTATAAGAAAGAAATGAAGTAACTTTTCTGAAATCTAAGCTTGTAAATGGTGGAGCCAAGTTCAGAAATTAGGTTATCTATATACCCTGTTAAGTTCTTTCAATGTTTTCTGTAAACTCAGGTAAATTAGTACATTTTAAAGATAATTATGATAAAATCAAATCCACAGCCATTGCGTTGATTCTCTGACTCATAGTACCCTATAGAAAAAAATGGAAATGTTCCATGGGATTTCCAAGACTCTAAATCTTTAAAGGAGCAGACAGTCTCATCTTTCTCCTACTGAGCTGCTGGTGGGTTTTGATCCATGATCTTGAGGTTAGCAATCCAATACTTATCCCACTATGCCACCAGGATTCCTTATTTTTACAATGAAAGGGTGCTGAATTTTTTCCAATAACTTTTCTATATTGATTTAGATGATTATGTGATTCTTATTTTTTACTGTATTAAGGTGGTAATGAGGAACCACTCTTGCATACCTAGAATTAAACCCCTCATGGCCATGATGTGTAATCATTTTATTAGGGTGCTAGATTTGGTTTATTTCATTGTGGATTTTTGCATCTATATTTAGTTTTCTTTTCTTGTAGTACCTTTTTCTGGTTTAGTGCCATGGTGATACTCACACTTGCCTCCTTGAATGAGATAGGACATGTGTTTTTTTCTCTTCCATTTTTGGGGAAGAGTTTATGAAGGATTGGCTTAAATTGTGCACTCAGTTTTTAGCAGAATTCTTCAATGAAGTCTTATCTAGACTTCAAGATTTTTTGGTTGTTGTTTTGGGGAGACTTTTTGGCTGTTTTTGGAAAACTTTTTTTTTTTATTTGTTTTGGGAAGACTTTTTGTTTATTGTTTTTGGGAGATTGGATTACTGAGTCATTCTTTTCACTTATTATGTTAAGGGTCTATTAAGATCTATTTACTCCAGAGACTACGTAAGTGACTTATATGTGTCTAGGACTTGTTTGCTTCTTTGACGTTATCTTGGTTTTTACTGTACAATGTTTATACTATTATCCTATGGTCCTTTTTATTTCTGTAGAACCAGTTGTAATATCTATGCTTTGACTTTTGATTTTTGTTATTTACCTCGTCTTTCTTTTTTTGTCAGTCTAGCTAAAGGTCTGACAATTTTTTTATTGATTTTTTCAAAGAACCAACTTCTGGTTTTGTTGATTGTCTATTGCTCTTGTTTTCTCTATTTCATTTATGTTTACTCTAATCTTTGTTATTTCCTTCCTTCTGATAGCTTTGGATTTTGTTTGCTCCTATTTTTCTAGTTGGAAAGCTAGGCAACCATTTTCAAAATATATTCAGAGTTGATTTATAGTGCCATTCAAATCCTTTATTACCTTAATGATATTCTTTCTAGATGCTCTATGTATTATTGAAAGTGGTCCATTGGAGTCTGAAACTATTATTGTAGAACTTTCTATTTTTCCCTTCAATTCTGTCAGTGTTTACTTCATGCTTTTTGAATTCTGATGTTAGGTGCATATTTATGTATAACTGTCATTCCCTCTTGATGAATTGACTCTTTTATCATTATTTCATTCCTTTTATCATCTAGAAGAAGCTCTAGTAGTGTAGTGGTTACAAGTCAGGCTGCTAACCTCAAGGTTAGCAGTTTGAAACTGCCAGCCACTCTGCAGGAGAACAATGAGGCTTTCTACTCTTATAAAGATTTACAGCTTCAGAAACCCTATAGAGAGTCGCTGTGAGTCGGAACCGACTCCACAGCACACCACCACCAGGACAGATATTGACTTAAAGTCTATTTTATTCTGATATTGATATTAATATAAGCACTTTCTACTGGTTACTATCTACACAGAGTTTTTTTTTTCTCATTTTTTAACTTTCAGTGTTTTTGTGACTTTGGGCCTAAGATATGTTTCCTAAAGAAAGTATATAAAAATTTCCTTTTTAAAAAAATTCATTCTGTCATTCTCTAGAATTTGATTTGAGACTTTAATGTATTGATATTTAAGATTATTTCCAATAAGGAAGGACTTACTCCTGCTGTTTTGCTTTTTTCCCCTTATAGCTTTTTTTTTTAATCTCTCATTTCCTTCACTACCGCCATCATTTGTTTTTAGTTGAATTTTTATATTGAACTATTTTATTACCTTCTCCTTTCATTCTGTGTATATTTGTTGCTAGTTTCCTTGTAGTTACTATGAAGGATGCATCCAACATCTTAAAATTATAGCAGCCTAGCTTAAATTGATACAAATTTCACTTCAGTAGCATACAAAAACTCTATTCTTACACCATTCTTTTACTCCAGCCAACCTCCATTAGTGTTGCTATCACCAATTACATTCTTATCAATCAATTAATAGTTATTTTAAATGAATTTATCATTCTAAAGTATTTAGGACATAGCTATGCTACTCTGGTTTCAATGGCTGCTTTTTCATATGTAGATCATCAGATCTTTCTTCTAAGGTGCCTCTTTGTTGGTGGTATTAAGTGCTATTGAGTTGGTTCTGACTCATAGCTACCTGTATAGGGTTTCTGAGGAGTGACTATTGAGTTTGAACCACTGACCTTTTGATTAACAGCTGAGCTTAATTTAACTAATTGCACTGCTTAGGGACTGAACCTTCCTTGATAATACCCCCTTTTTAAAAAATTCCTCCCTTATATGTCTCACATCCCCACTCCCCTATTGATGTTTTCTAGGATTACTTCCAGGGGGGAGCGGTACTCTCTGTAGGATGTGCACTGGACTGTGAACCAGATGGTTGATGGTTTGAGACCACCAGCTGCTCCTTGGGAGAAAGATGAGGCTTTCTGCTCCCACAAAAATTCCCAGCCTCAGAAACCCTATTCAGGGTTGCTATGAGTCAGAATCAACGTGATGGCACTTAACAACAACAACAAGGATTATTTCCCAGTCAGCTGCTTTTGAGAGAACCCCAGCTAAAATAGGAACCCTGTAAAATAGGCATAGTCTCCATTCTTAATGAGAAAATTGGCCCAATTTTCTCAAGATCATAGAACTGTTATGTGAAACATTTGGAATAAAAACTGAGGTCTGCGAAGTTGGGACTCTGAAGCACTTTGCACATGGCTTCTTGGTAAGCAAGCAAACCAATTTCTCACTATCAGTTCACCGAGGGATATGGAGAATCAAAAACATCAAATGAAGAAATAATATTAGTCAAGAATTAAAAGAAAGATTTCCAATCTATCTATTTAATTGAATGAGCAAAAAAAAAAAAAAAAAATGTACCTGAAATCTATTACATCCTTCCCCAACTACACTAAGAATTGCTTTCAATGAATTTCATTTTGTTTGCAATGACAATTGACTTTACAAATGGTCTAAGAGATTCATTATAGATTTCAATATGTATAGTATAGAGAGCATTCTTGTTACTTTACTTTGCATTTTTAAGAAATCTTTGGGAGAAATATCTTTCAGGTCAGGTCTTCGTATCAGGAAGTGTGTTTGCCACTTGAGCAATTAGTTGATTTTTACCTTATGGATACTGTCACTCTTCATTTTTCCTAAATGAATTGTCTGAATAATCCAGAGCCAGTGACGTGACTATGCTACATCTCATCCCTGCCTGCAGGTTATGTCCCTAATCTTGTTTTATCTTTCCAAAGAGTTAATGCTACTTCATAGTTTCTTGTGTTTTACATCTTTGTGATAGCTTTTGAAAGTTTTTGTGAACAGATGAGGCCATAAATAAATGTGTATACTAGCCAACAAGTACACATATTTGTCATATTTCAAAGCTTTTGATTATTAAAGGAATATCCTACCCACAAGATGATAAATTTGTAAGATTGGATTGTAGCTCTCAACTTCCCTTGGACTTCTACTGTCTCACACAGTTAAGCAACAGGAGACTCCAGCAAGATGTACACATTAGTACAGGAACATAGTGAACCTTTGACGGAGTTTTCAGCTCAGCATTATGCAAATCAAGGTACAGAGAAGATTATATTTCAGGGATACATACATTTCCAAACCTGGCAGCTAATAAACGAGATGGGGTAGTCTGAGTAGCAGGGATGTGCCAATTAAGCATTGCAACATTTGATGGCCTTTGTGAGAAATCTGACATGTATATGGGGTATAGCTCTTAAGTGAAAACCAGATGTAATCATGTCTTTTATCTAAAGTTATTTGAGTTTGTCCAGAGCAAGTGAAGATGGATTGATCAAGTCATACATGTTTTCTTATTTGCAGGCTTGAAAATAAACTAAATAGACAGCATGTGATTTTGTTGAAAATAACTGACCAATGATTTTGACACTCTATATGTGCTTAGCATACATTTTAAAAAATGTTTTATTCTGATTATGTGTGATAGTTTACATGGGAGGACATTAGCTTTACATTC